TCTAATCTGACTTATCTGGTTGTGGCCTGGTTTTAATTAGAGCTCTTTGAATTTTTTTTCCAGCCAAACCTGTTCTAAGGAAAACTGAAAATCTGACTCTGCTTCTGTCTTTCATTTCATCTCCTTTCCTTTTTTTCTTTCATTATCTTTTTGCTTTCCTCTCTTCTCCTCTTATTTACGGGATTCCGAGGATCATAGATTTCAAAAGTGTCTTCATCCTGCATACTTGCGTCTTTCACTTTTCTGCTTCTGTCCTCAAACTGAAGCACATGTGCCATCCTAGAAAGCAAACAAAACCACAGTTCAGATTTCCTGAGTGCAAGAGCTGGAGTTCGAGAACCTGAAATGACAAAATCCTTGAAAAGATGTGGTGACCAATAATACCTAAAAAAAAATTCACTATCTTGTACTTTGTATTGTATGTTAACATGTTAACCTTTTAAAGAGAAGATACCCAAAGAATACAGCTGGTGTTTGTTCTACTGGGTTTCACTTCTAGTATTGAGCCCTTTTGCTTTGTTTCTACTTTCCATGCCTTCCCAGATGAATTGAAAATAATTTTCCCATGAATTGGGAGAGTGTCTCAAGCTTTTCTATTAGTCACTTTAGACTTCCTTTAATGGCTTTCGTCAGCAGAGTTGCAGAAGTAAAAATGGGCTTATACTGAAAACTGCTACAGTAGACATGGGGAATGCATCAGTCCTACCGTTCTACTTTAAATTGAACATGCTTTGTTATTCTTAGAATACCACACTGAAATCTCATTCTGCTCCTCAAGCCAACTTTTTCTTTCTGATTATGATTAGAAATCTTAACTGTACTAATATTTCTTTATTTCACCAAATTCCCAGTGGTCTGAAAATACCAACATGTTCTAGTCATAAGTACCTTGTTGGCTGTACTCTGTGGAAAGAAGGCCTGGAGTTGATCAACTCTGGCCTTATTAGTAGGTGTCACCGAAGCTGGAATTAATATGGAAGCTGTCACAAATCATGGAGTTTTATGCTAGCCAAATAAAATCCTAAAGGGAAGTTGTGTTGTTTTCCTCCACTGGAAGAGGGACAGGGGGAATCACCAAAGAGAAAACAAAATGTGAACGCTTGTGACAAGTTTACTAGTTGTAAAACAATGATCTTTACTGACAAGTCAGATACTGTTCCATATTACAACATGCTGAACTGGATGTGGTTTGATTTTATATGCTCGAGCGTGCCTACAGGATTAACACTTTTTACCACAGCTGTACTATTTTAGATGGAAAATCCACTCCATTAAATTATACTTCACCTCATTTAGAAGAGAGTTTTTCTATAAAGCTGCTACTTTTGAATTTATAACTCCCTGTCAAAAAACCCACCAACAAAACCTTGCCCAAACTTCAAATTAAGAAACTTACACAAGAAAGGCGACCAATTGCATTTGCCATGGGGATCTTTCAATGTGTAAATGGACCTAGCAAATAAGTCCTCTTAAATCTGAAATATGTAATTATAATCCGTTTCCTCTCGATGCCTGTTTTACACACCCTACTAAGTCCTTACTTTTGCAAGCTGTACCATTCTAAACATGTTTATATTGTTTTAATTTAATGATATGTAGGCACCCTGTTGGAACTTGGAAAAGATGTAAAAGCCTGAACAATCGGAATCAATATGGGCTTTTCATCACAGGATGTAGTACTGTAGTCTTTCCAAGCTTGCACAAAATACCAGCACCCAGACTTAAGGAGCCATGAAGCACAAATCCAAATCCAAGAAGGGAAAAGGAAGGTATTGCCTAAGATACTGCATTCTTATAAGGACTGCTATTCTACAACTACCTCTGATTTCACTTTCTATTAAATAAGAAAACTATAGGCCAGTAACTTACAAAATGTTTCATCCATTTGGGTTCATCATGCTTTAGACTTGCTTTAAAACAAAACTGCTATGTTCAGCACAATAAACTCCTGACCTGTGTGGATCCATAAATCACTGATTGTAGTGAACTGAAAGCATGCCTGTATTTTACAATGTCTGGTGAGAATACACATGCATATTTGTTATAGTCGTTTCCAATATATAAAGCCCTAGGAGCTTATAACCCTGTACACACCAATAACTCTATAATTTATTTTAGTCATATGTAAAATCCAGAATAGCACAATTTACCCTATTTGACTCATGATTGCCTGTTATGGGCACATCTAGATGAGTGTGCACATGCCTGTTATGGCATCTCAAAGCAGTTTGAGATGCTGCAGGAGGCATGCTAACAACAAAAAAATGTTTCCTACACTGCACATTTGCAGCGTGGGCTCTAAATCTGATACTAGGAAGCATGAAAAAAAACCCACAGTGAAAAAAATGGCTCCTGGAGTATGCCCTGAAGTAACCTGAGGCTGAGTCCTCCAGAGAGATGCTCTGGCATCTGGCTAGAGCATCTCTATGGCTGCCCCATGCCCTTACTGCCCCAGCACACTGCCTCATATGCTGGGGCAAATACGAGCGGGGCGGGGCTGCAGCAGTGACCTGGACCTGGACCTAGGTAACTAGAGATGTGGTGGTGGGGATTGTGTGGTTTCTGGGGGTGTGTGGGAGGAGTGTGAGCTGTGTGAATGGGTGTGGGGGGGTTGTGGGTGTGGGTTTTGTGGGAGGACCGCCTCACGCACATCATCCCTGCTAACATGTGCCTTGAGCCGCCCCAGTCCTGCTCAAAGGCGTGTGCTAGCAGGGCAGTCTGGGCTGGGTTGGCTTTGTTCACCATTTGCCAACCCTGGGTCAGGCAATGCAGTGCTGCTGTGGGGCTATGCCAGCAGCGGGCCATGGCCCTGATGGCCCAGCTGGCTGCTGCTACCAGCACTGGGGGCTATGCGCTTCAGGGGGTGGGTGTATGGCAGCCCCCCCTCAAATCTCCCACCCACAAATATCATACACTCACCCACAAACCCTATGCCCCCACACACCCCACATCCCCTCTATACCCAGCCATCACACACCCAAGAACCCCAACTCCCTACACCAATTCCTCCCTCCCTTCCTCCTACAAACCCCACATCCCTCCCACATCTCACACCCTGTAAGCCCAGCTGCCAGACAGGATGGGACCTGCTGGCAGGAGCTGTGACTGCAGGGGCAGCTGTCCCCACATCCTGGTTGGTAAAGAGGTCAGGGAAAGCTCTGATTTTTCTATGAGAAAAAAACAAAAGCAAACACCAAAACATACAGATATTTAGAATTTATTTTATGATGATGATGGAGGCACTGGTAGGTTTCCAAATTGCTTTAAAATTGTAAATACATCAATAAAACATTGCCCAACTGATATCTCACTCTCTCTCTCTCATATATAGTGGCGTTTTGGTTTAATCGTGGATGAACATGGATTTGGGGTATTTTAACACAGAATTTGCAACTTTTTAAACAGGGAACACCACGATTACTGCTAGTGAGGGAAGTGGTGGGACCAGGCAGAGGGGCCTGCCCAGGGACCCAGCTGGAGGGCAAACAAAGTTGCTGACCTCCTGGCTACTTGGGGCCAAGAGGACATACTTTAACAGTTCAAAGTGAGCCACCACAATGAGCACATCTTCCAGGTGATAGCTGCCCAGATGGCAGGGCAGGGGCACACATGGCAACACATGGAGGCCAACTGCGCAGCCACAGCCCACCGGCAGCTGGCCCAAAGGCGCAGATGGCTCTGCTGCACTGCCCATGTCACAGCTAGGCAGCCAAGCAGTCCCCATCCAGGTCTGGCAGGCATGCAGATATGGGGCTGCAGGTTCAAGGGGGCAGATGCTGTCTCAGGTGCCAGCAGGTCACAGCCAGGCAGCAGCCCCCACTATCAGACCGCTGCAGTGGATAGAGAGGGCAGGGGCTACTTTAGGTCAGGGCTGCTGCAGTAGTCCAGCTGGCACAGGGGGCTAGTATCCCCATATGTCAACTTGCTGGGCCTCAGAAGCTCCTGAGAGCAAGTAGCTCTGAGCTGCTTGCCAAGACAATTTTTAATACTGCTGGGGCCAGCACAGATGCTAGCCCCAGCCTTCAGCTCCACCTGGTGGCAGATCTGGGAGGAGCTGGGCAGAGTCAGTTTGCCCCAAGTGGCACAATTTGCCCCACACCAAAGTGCATGTTTAGGCACATGTGCTGAGGCACAAATCTCTGGCACAAATTTGTGCCGCTGCTATTTGAGCTGCTGCAATCACACGTGCCTACATAGGTGGACGAACCCTATGAGTCTAATTATAAAAGAACAGTTTTTCCAAGTGGAGATATCAAAGTCATTTCTTTCAGTTGACATGCTTACTGCATAGTCATTTTGTTCTCAAGTTATTAAAGATGAAGAGAAGAATACTGTTCTTTAAAATGATTAGCACATCATAAAATCATGGAATTTTCATGGGACTTAGGATACAGACTCCCAAATGACAGCATGACAATTCAGTGAAGGCTTTCAGAGTATTAGTTATGGTTTTGTACCGGGCTTATAAACTGTGGATTTTTGGATAAATGATGATACCACTACATATCTTTCCACCAATGTCTAGTTAAGTACCCAGTTCCAGAAACAGGCATGTTGTATAACAGAAGTTTCCCTTGTTTAGTCTGCAAAGCCTACTGATTTTGGAGCAACAGTAGGTTGCCCAGTTAATCTATCTATGTGCAGCCATTGTGCTGATGTGTGATTCCATGTTTTCATCACACAGAATGAAACCAGAAGAATCCTACTGTGCAATCTGTGCTTAAAACAAATGGTTGACAGTTTGTTTTATACTATGACACATACAACCATAGACCAGCTTGGTTTCCTCTGCATCTCTGGGGTGAAACAAGTCAGTTTTTTGTACAAGATTTTAGCAACAGATTAAGCAATTTATACCATATTTACTTGATTCCAAGACAAGGTCCTCCCAACCCCCCATGGAGAAAAGGAAGCCTTATCTTAGAATCGAGCAGTAAGTAAAAATACAGTACCTGCAGTCAGCATTGCATCCCACACTGCTCCCTGGCTCCATGCTGAGCTAAGGAGTGGTGAAGGAATCAGCATGAAGGAACCTGGGGAAGAGGAAGGCAGGAGTGGGAGGGCAAGTGGCAGGGGGTGGGGACAGCATTTAAAGAAATGGATGGGTTTTCAGAAGTGCTCAACACCAACCACTTTTATTGACTTTAGTAGCAGCAGTGGGTGCTCAGGAGCACTGATAACTGGGAAATCTAGCTAACTAACATAAGTAATTAAACCACTCAAATGTGCAAAGTTTGCCCAAATGTTCCATTCTCGAGATTCTGTCATGTTGCTGTTTT